CAGTAGGAGGGCCTTATAAAGGTGAAGCTCATGATTAGTCTATGTTTTTGAAAGGTCATGATGTGGTTATCGTGGCTTGGGGGGCAGACTAGAGAGCACAGAGAGGGGGCAGGAATGAGGCTCTGTCTCCACTTCCACACTTCCCATCACTCTAAAATTTTTCACTTATGAAATATATCATTTACATTATCTCCATGGTTTACAGAGTAAATAATAAGGTCTACCTCTGTTGTGTGTGCATCCCACCCAGCTTAACCCATACAAAGTCAACTTTCACCCTTGGAAGCTCTTATCTAGGTCACTACTGATTCCCATGTTGCCAAACCCAATGTCCTCATCTTTCACCACCTCTCAGCAGCCCTGGACGTAAGTGACCATCTCCTCTTTGAAATACTTTCTTTGCCTTGATTTCCTCTCTCTTATTACTCCTTCTCAGACTCCTCTGCTCGCTCCTTCATTGCCTGACCTCTCAATGTCACCGAATCCTGGGGCTTGATCTTTCTCTTCCTTGTCAGCACACTCTCCCTAGTGATCTCCTCAATACCATGGCTTCAATACAACTGTAAATGCTGAAATGCCCACCTTTACATCTGCAGCCCTGTCATCTCTCCACCAGATGTTAGACCTATGTAGCTGCAGTAGCAGAATAATGGCTCCCTAAAGGTATCCATGACCTAATCCCCAGAACCTGTGAATATGTTACCTTACACGGCAAAAGGAACTTTGCAGATGTAGTTAAGGATCTTGAGATAAGAAGATTATCCTGGATTATCTGGGTGAGCCTTATAAAAGGGAGGCAGGAGGGCCAGAGTCAGAGAAAGATTTGAAGATGCTACGCTGCTGGCTTTAGAGATGGAGAAAGGGGCCATGAACCAAGGAATGCAGGTGGCCACTACAGGCTGGCAAAGGCGAGGAAACAGATTCTCCCCTAGAGCTTCCAGAAGGAACACAGCCCTGTCGACATTTTGATTTTAGTCCAGTAAGAACCTCTTTGGACTTCTGACTTCCAGAACCATACGATAATGAATTTGTGTTGTTTTAAGCCACACGTTTGTGGTAATTTGTTAGAGCAGCAATAGGAAATTAATACAATAACCAAGTGCCCATTGTCTAATGACATCTCAAACTTAGAATGTCCAGAACAGAATTCACAGTCTTGTCTTCCCAAGCCTACTCCTTCCCATCATCCCCACAGCAATAAATGGCATAACTAACCATTCCATTTTGCAGCCAGAAGCCTGGGGAGCATCCTTGCTTCGTCTTTTCCCTCATTCCCCACAGCCAATCCACCAGTAAACCCTATATCTAGAGAACATCTCTCCACTTCCCTGCCACACCCTGGCCACCATCATTTTGCCTAGTGTCATGGATTGAATTGTGTCCCCCCAAAATATCTGTCAACTTGTCTAGGCTGATTCCCAGTATTGTATGATTGTCTACCATTTTGTCATCTGATGTGATTTCCCTATATGTTGTAATTCTATCACTATGATGTTAATGAGATGTATTAGTGGCAGTTACATTGATGAGATCTACAAGATTAGACAGTGTCTTAAGCCAATCTCTTTTGAGATATAAAACAAAGAAGCGAGCAGAGAGACAATGGGGACCTCATACCACCAAGAAAGCAGTGCCGGAAGCAAAGTGCGTCCTTTGGACCTGACGTTCCTGTGCTGAGATGCTCCCAGACCAAGGGAAGACTGATGCATGCAAGGACCTTTCTCCAGAGCCAACAGAGAAAGAGCATTCCCCTGGAGCTGGCACCCTGAATTTGGACTTGTAGCCTACTGGACTGTGAGAGAATAAACTTCTCTTTTTTAAAGCTATCTGCTTGTGGTTATTTCTGTTATAGCAAAACTAGATGACTAAGACACCTAGATTTGTGGTAATAGCCACCTCTTGTCTTTTGTTGTTTGTTTCATTTTTTTTTTAGATTTACCCTTGTAATTTATACCGTGTCTCCTGCTTCAGTAGCCTTCCGTGCACTTAGGAAAATATTGCAAACCCCTTAATGCCTCTCACAGGGCCTTGCACAATCTAGCCGCTTCCCACTGTCCCCCTCTTCTGCTCTCCAAGCTGCGGACCGCCCCCACCTCTTTCCTACCTCAGGCCCTGTGCCTTGCGCTCCCTCTGCCTGGAACCTTCTCCCTCACTCTCCCTGAGACTGCCTCAGTCTCACTCCCTGGGCCTCACTTAACTGCCACCTCCTCATAAATGCTTTCTCCAGCCAGCCCTGCCCCATAACCCAGTTCCTGGGCTTCTTCGCATCACTCTGGTTTATTTCCTTCTCGGAACTTGCCACCATCTGATAGTATCTTGTTCACTTGTTTACCTGCTTATTCTCTGTCTCCCCCACCAGACTGTAAGTACTCCAGAGACCTTGCCTCTCTTGTTCCTCATTTTATTCCCAGTGTCTGCAACAGTGCCTGGCACAGAGCAGGGACTCAGTAAGTATTTACTGAATGACTTGAGTGACAGTCCAGGCACAGCTGAGGGGGCTGATCTAGGGCAGGGCTGAGGGCGGAGGGCCCGCTGCAGCTGGGCTCTGCTCCTCTGTGCAGCTTCGGCAGCTGAGCCCCCAAATTAGGTTGCCTCCTCAGCAGCCCTGCCTTTCTCCCCACACTTCCTCCCTGGCCTGTGCCTCAGCTTTGGGCCCAGCACCCCATTCCCTGCTTCCCCTGGAAGGGAGGCTCAGCGCTGGGCTCTAGCCCAGACCACACTTTGGTGGGGTAGGCGCAGTCCTGGGACAGCTCGGGGGCTCCCTCTTCCTTCAGGCCTTTGCCCATGCTCTTCCCTCTGCCTGAGATGCCTTTCACCTCCTCCTGCAGGACAATCATCCCAAACACCAGCTCCTCAGGAAGCTTTCCCACGGGAAGAAGCAACAGGGCCTCCATCCCACTCCCTGGCCTTTTTTCCCCCACCTGAGTTCCCAACAGACCACCAGGTACAGTTGCGTAAGCTAAGCACTGCACAACCCTAAGATTGCCATTCATATCACAGCTGTGAATGCCGTGGCCTGGGGCCCGGTCTGAGCTGCCTCTGCCCTCTGCCCCTTTAAGTACACCACAGTGGGTGGTCTCTGGACCTCCAGTTTGTTGATTGACAAACCAGCTAAACTAAAGACTGACGGGCTGTGGCAGAGGACCCGCCATCAGCTGATATCTCAAGGACCCTGCATTACACCCTGCGCCGGGTGCAGCCCCTAGGGCCCTTGCCCATCTCCTACCTTCACCCAGCTCTAACCTGTCCCTGTTCTCAAGTCCATGCCCTTATCTCCTAGGGGGCGGCCTTCTTTATGTCTAACACCATACCCCCTGCAGCAGCCAAAGCCCATGATATAGCCAGCCCTGGTCTGGGATATTTTAGGGAGAGGTGGTATGGAGAAGCGAGAGGGACCCGTGTTACTGTGTAGCCCAAGGCAGCCAGCCAGCGCATTTCCTGCCCCAGGCAGCAGGCCCGTGGTCTTGGACGCCATCATCCACAGCAGGAACCTAGCAGTGCCTCCCACCACATCCTCCTCTCTGGCAAGTTCAAACCTGTGCCCCCCACCCCTCTGCCTCAGCAGGTGCTCAGAGAGGTTTTCCTGAGCCCAGCTCAGCTCTCCCCCACCTCCATCCATCAGCGGGGGCTCTGGGGACTTCAAACTCCCCTCATCCACCCTGGCCTTTAGGCTTTGGTTTCTGAGGTGGGGGCGTTCAACGCTGCAGAGGCTGGAGCTGGGGAGGGCCCCACTGGAGTATGGGCAGGAGGGGACTGGGCAGGAGATAGTCACAAATAACTGAGACCGAAAGCCAGCCTTTATGATCAAGTGGAGCAACCAGAACACTTGGGCAAACGGTTTGGAAAACTGTGCCACCGTTTATACTAAAGCCGAACCAATGCATGACTCATGACTCAGCAATTCCACTCCTGGGCACGCGACAATAAAAATAAGTTCACTTGTCCATCAAAAGCAAGTGCACAGCAGTACTGCTCATAGCCCAGGGGAAGGACCCAATGTCCACTGTCAGTGCTGCTCACACCGTGCAAAACTCTGCAGCAATGAGATAAGCACGATTGCTTCAGGCAACACCATGGGTGAAATTCATAGATCTTATGTTGAGTGGGGCCTGACTGTGACACAACAGAGCACATACTGTATGATTCCTTTATATTAAGTTCAAAAACAAACTAATCTATGGAGATGGAGGTCAGACGGGTTATTCGAGGCGGGGTATGTGCCTAGAAGGGCGCATGCAGGCTACAGGGGGCTTATGCAAGGCTGGTAATGTTCTGTTTCTTGATCCTGATGCTGCTTACGTAAATGGCTCACTGTGAAAATTCATAGAGCTAGCTGCACGCTTATAAGATGTGCATCTTCCTGTGGGGCCAACGTCAATAAAATTTTACCAAAACAAAAGAAAACACAACAAAAGCCAACATTTAATTCATCTTCCCTGCCGCCAAAAACTTCCTAACAACCAGCCACCACCCCTTCTGGCTTCCCTAGACCCTCAGAAGTAAGATCAGTCTTCTTGGCCTGGATGACAAGGCACTGCCCGCATCCTCCATCTTATTTCTCATCCCTCTCAGCTTCAGCCACACGAAAATTTCTAAATTCTTTGAGCTTGCTCTGGCTAGCTCCCAGGCCTTTGCCCAAGCTGTTCTCTCTGTTGGGACTTCCCTTTTCCATCCTTCACACAGCTAATTCCTACTTGGCCCTGAGTCCAGTGCAGATGCACATCTTCTGGCTGAGGAACACACCCGCTCTAGGTGCCACGGACACCATTACTCGTCATTGTTTGACTTGTCTGTCTCCCTCATGAGTCTGGTGGCTCCATGAGGGCAGGGCCTAGGTCTCCTTCACTCTCTTATCCCCCAAATCTTGCCTGGCACTGAGCAGATGCTGCATAAATTCTTGCTGAATGAAGCGGCCCTGTCCTCACCACTTAAATTGAATGGTCACCAGCCTCTTCCCTGTGCAGATAAAGAAACTGAGGTCCAGAACAGGGTCCACGCCTGCTTGGCTGGTAGGGTAATGGCACAAGGCTCAGGCCCAGGAGGCTGTCTCAGGAGCAGCTGGGAGCCCACGGAGCTCCTGCCCTGCTCACCTGGGATGGGGGGTGGGGGTGCGGGGAGAGTGGAGCTCCCTCAGCCAGGAGCCTACCTGCCTGCCACACCTGGCTCAGGCTGAAGCCTTCCTGGACCCTGGGTTTACTTGCTCGTGTGTGCTGGGTATGAAGGAAACTCTCGACTACTGACCAATAGAATGTGGTTGGATGGGAACCTGCCTGGGGCAGGGCCTGAGCATGCACAGAAAACCCCTTTGACAGCCATGAAAAAAAAGGTAGGAGAGAACTGCTACAGATTAAAGGAGACTAAGGAGACATATGGAGTCCTTGAAGTGCAAACAATTTGCTCTTGACCACTAGCCAGAAGGTTCGTGGCTCGAACCCCCCTTGAAAGACAGGCCTGGTAATCTTCTTCCAAAAGGTCACAGCCTTGAAAACTCTATGGAGCAGTTCTGCTTTGCCCACATGGGGTCTCCATGAGTTGGAATTGACTTGATGGCATCTAACAATAATAACAACAACAAAGAGACATACCTGGTTTGCACTCAACCGCTAACCTAAAGATTGGCAGTTCCAACCCACCAGTGGTACCACAAAAGAAAAGGCCTGGCAATCTGCTTCTGTTAAAATTACAGCCAAGAAAACCCTATGGAGCAGTTCTAGTCTGTAACACATGGGGTTGCCATGAGTAGGAATCGACTTGACAGCAACTAACAAGAACAACAAGAACTAACAAGTCTCTGAGCGGTGCAAACAAAGTGTTCAGCTGATAACTGAAAGGTTGGAAGTTTGAGTCCACCCAGAGGCACCTCAGAAGAAAAGCCCAACAATCTACTCCAAAAAATCAGCCACTGAAAACCCTATGGAGCATAGTTCTACTCCAACACACATGGAGTCGCCATGAGTCAGAATCAACTTGACAGCAACTGGTAACGAGACATAACAACAATATGCAATCCATAAACATTGACTAGGTTCTGACTTTAAAACAAAACAGCTCCCGGCTACCACCACCAACTGCTCTGACAGGGATCACAATAGAGGGTCCCGGCCAGAGTGGGAGAAAAACGGAGAACAAAATTCAAACTCACAAAAGAAGATCAGACTTGTTGATCTGACAGAGACTGGTGAAACCCCAAGAGTATGGCCCCCAGTCACCCTTTTAACTCGGTACTGAAGTCACTCCCGAGGTTCACCCTTCAGCCAAAGATTAGATAGGTCTATAGGGCAAACAATAACACGTGTGAGGAACGTGCTTCGTAGTTTAATCATGTATACGACACTAAATGGGCATACTAGTACGAAAGCAAAGATGAGATGGCAGGAAGGGACAGGAAAACTGGACAAATGGGAACAGGGAACCCGGGGTGGAGAACGGAAGAGTGTCGACACATCACAGGGTTGGCAACCAATGTCACAAAACGATTTGTGTATTAACTGTTTAATGAGAAACTAATTTACTCTGTAAACTTTCATCTAAACCACAATTTAAAAAAAAAAACTGCTCTAGAAGTCATTTTGCGGACAACATAGGAAACTGAAATGTTTGCCAAATATCATGAACCTTCACTCCAGAGCGCCTCTGAATACTAAAGACATGCTCCTACATAAACACATCACCATTATCACCACCTGATAATACACATTTTACTTATTTGCTTATTATCTGTCTCCCTCTGGCCAACCACATAAGCTCCCTGAGCACTAGGATTTTTGTCTTTGCTCCCTGCTGTACCCCCAGGGCTAGAACAGGGCCTCACAGGGGCTCCATAAACACTTGCTGAGTGAGTGACCACTGCATATGTAGTTCTGCATCTTGCCTTTTTCATTTTACATTATGTTTTGAGACCGACACTGCCTGATACCCATTGAACTAACTTCATTCATTTTGCCTGTTTGTAGTCTTGCAAAGTCTGATTTGCACCTTACTTTTCCATTTTCCTAGTGGTGAACATTTCCAGCTTTCACTACTCCAAGCAATGCTACAATGAACATGTTGGCATGCATCTGAGAATTTCTCGAGGGTAGATATCTGGGAGTGGAATTGCTGACTCAAGGGGTATGTACGTCCTCAACTTTACCAGATGTGGCAAAATTGCTCTACAAAGTGGTTACATCAATTTATAGGTCCATGAGTTCCTGTTTCACCACATCCTTGCCAACACAGTGTGGTGAGATTTTAACTTTTTTCCTATCTAATGGGTGGGTACAGATTATATTTTCAAAATGTAAGCTAATGTTTATTTAGCCCTAATTGGGCCAGAAACCTTGTTAAACCTTTACATGTATTATCTAAAATAGTCTTGGCAATAACCCTGTGAGCTGGGTCAACAATCACCATCCCCATCTTACAGATGAGAAACTGAGGCTCGGTGGTTGAGCACCTTGCCAAGGTTGCACAGCAAACACAGAGGGAAGCTAGCATGAACCCCGACTACCAGACCCGGAGTCTGCCTCTTAACCACTGCTCTTGAGCACTTCATGTTTTTATTTTGTCCTTTTATATTTTTTGTCACTTTCCAAATTTTCTACATTGAGCATATGTTCCTTTCATAAGGGGCAAAAATGTCTTCATAAATTTTGTTATGGATTGAATCGTGTCCCCTCAAAATATGGGTTGGAATTCTAACCCCTATACCTGTGGATGTAAGCCTGTTTGGAAATAGAGTTTTCTTTATTATGTTAATGAGGTCACATCAGTGTGTCTTAAACCTAATTATTTCTGGGTTATAAAAAAGGCAGATTAGAGACAGAGATATGCACACCCAGGGAAGACAGATGCCATGTGAGGATTATCTACAAGCCAAGGATCAAGGAAGACCTGGGACCACCTATAAGGAAGG